GGTTTTGAACCCACCAGCTCCAGTGTACGTGGCTGGCACCCTAGCCGCCGAGCTACAGGCGCTGAGCCCAATCTGCCAATTTTTTTAGGCAATATTTTCATTTCTATGCAGTAAGATAAAGGTACCCTTACCTGCACCACACCTGTTCCCTGAGGAAGACTAAATGAAGTCCCAGGAGGAGTTCTTATTAGTTGGGACTTAACCTGACTAGCCAGAGAGAAATTTGGGGTACCTTAGTTATGAAATGAATATTTTTCTTTTTTTTAAATAAAAGATCTTAATATAGTCATTGAACTTCAATAATCCTTCTTCAGACTGTTGAATAAAGACTACTAAGTGGGGGAAGGGGAAGTAGCCCCAAAAATGGCAAAGCAGCAGGAACCAGGAAGCCCTAGGGCCTCAGGTGACAATCAGGGAGTCACTCTGCCTGGGAGCGTCTCTGCCTCTGGTCCCAGAGAAGGGAAAAGGCCTCTGGGTGTTGGTGGGTAGAGTTTGCCCTCTCAGGTTTCTGCTGTGGTGGAACATGGCTGTTATCTCTTTCCCCACCTGCTGGGGTGAGGCCAGACAATGTTTGCTAATAAAATATCTGGTCATGGATCAGAGAAATGGCCAGTGTAGTACATGAGGTTCACAGTTTCTGGACTCAGTGAGCCATGCACCTCACATGTGATCACACCTGCTATTTGTCACCACCAGGGTGGCTCTCCTCACTGCACCCACTCCCTGACCTTACCAAGAGGTTGGTTGCTAATGCAGATTCCCCGGACCTTCATCTGGAACTATTAAAACCAGAATCTTTAGGGAGAAGGGCCTGGAAACCTTCCTTTTGAACCGACATCACTGTTAGTCCACTTCATCCTCATCTTCCGTTCTTCAGAGGTCAAGTCTTTATGATGAGCTACTGTTGCTCATGCTGAATGCTTTGCTTAGAATACCAGGAGAGTTTTCACATGGAAAACAGATTTCCAATCTTCTTTCAAGCTCAGATGTCATTTCCTCTGCAAAATATTCACCACCATCCTTTCCCCTCTGTGATCTTGCCCCCCGTACACCCAACACACTACAGTTTCCCCCTTTATGCACCCTTAGCTCTCCATACCTCCTTCATAAACTTCATGTATTGATTTGTCTACATCCTCCTCCTCAGCAACCATCTCAGACTGAGTTCCCCAAATAGATGAGTTTTTAAACCTCAGAACTGATCGGTGCCTTGGATCCAGTATGCTCTTCAAGCTTGAAGGAATATTATTTAAAATTTACCAACCTCATAATTAATAAATTAAATATGATTTAATAGCCCATTATTATGTGCTTTCTGAATGTATGGATTTCTTTTCTTTTCTTTTTTTTTTTTTTGAGACAGAGCCTCAACCTGTCGCCCTGGGTAGAGTGCTGTAGCATCACAGCTCACAGCAATCTCCAACTCCTGGGCTAAAGCGATTCTCCTGCCTCTGCCTCCCAAGTTGCTGGGACCACAGGCACCCACCACAACGCCTGGCTATTTTTTGGTTGCAGCCATCATTGTTGTTTGGCAGGCCCGGGCTAGATTCAAACCTGCCACCTTAGGTGTATGTGGCTGGCACCTTAGCTACTTGAACCACAGGCACCGAGCCGTGGATTTCTATATTTTAAAAACGCAACTAATTATTTTTAAGTATGAAATTTTACCAAGATGTGAAAAGCATAAGCTGTGTATTATACATAGCTGTGTGTATACATAGTTCAGGGCAACCTGAACTATGCCATGTCAAACGATCTACAGCATCACAAAGAACATTAAATCAAGATTTTAGATGCCTTTGGTCTGGCTATTTAATCAGAACAGTGATTTTATAGGAACATTTAGGTTTTGTACGAGTTTCTACATAATGAGTTTCCCCCTTTGAAGTTCCAATAAATAATCTATCCATAAGAGCTTTCAGAATCGTCCTAGATGACATTAAAAAAAGAAAAAATATAACTCAAGTTAAACAGCAAATGAACACCCTACACCCCACAGTTTCTCTTTTACTCCCATTATTTCTGAGTCACCACCAAGGGGTTTCATTAAATGGACAGCATGTCATTGCATTCTGCCAGGACATGTTTATGCTGCTGGAGGCTTTGCCTGCTTTATCTTTCATAGTTCTGCTAAGAAGGAAGTGTTTATGAATCGAAAGAAGTATGTGCAGGGATTTTTCTGAGGCTTTTAATTTTCCTTTGCAATAACAAAAGCCTCTCATGACTTCATCTGTTGACACACTTCAGTCAAGTTCTCTAAGTGCTTTATGAGCACAAAGCCATCCTGCATTTGCTCGCTGGCTCAGGTGTGGATGGAATCAACTTTCATAGATGAAAAACAAAAACTCAAAATGTCAAGCTGTTTAAAGTGTCTCAAGTGCTCCAGGATAGCAAATTAAAAAACAAACAAGCAACCCCGCCCCCACCAAAAAAACCCTAAAAAAATAGTAAGAACAAAACTCTTCCTTGGATTATTCATACATTTATGGACTGTGCATTCTTTGCTAGTAGTTAAGCAGAACTCGGATTTTGAGACTGGCCAAGACTAAAAGGCCAGAAATTAATTTCACAGTAAAGCTACAAGTTCTAGTTTTCAAGCAAGTACAGGAGAATCTCGTGTCATCTGACCAAATGATGATCTTTCCAGGGCCTTTATTTCTCTCAAGTTTGATTTCCCTGCTGATGACTTGGGTTCTCTTTCTATAGACAGGGAACAGATGTTTGCTTATTCTCTTACAGGGCTGGACAGAATCTAGGCAATAGGGGAGAGCCCAAGTGGTCTAAAAATTCCATGTGATCTGCTCATTTTTTAAAACCACTTTTTGGAGGGGAGAAAAATATATATATTTTCTGAGTCACTAATGAAGAACTTCCCAACAAAGGTTTGCCCCAGAGAAACTATTTTTAGCTCCCTATCTATAGTCTTACTCCAAAATATATTCAACTATTGGCTCGGTGTGTGGCTCAAGTGGCTAAGGCACCAGCCACGTAAACCCAAGATGGCGGGTTCGAATCTAGCCTGGGCCCGCCAAACAACAATGATGGCTGCAACCAAAAAATAGCCAGGCGTCGTGGAGTGCGCCTGTGGTTCCAGCTACTTGGGAGGCTGAGGCAGGAGACTCACTTGAGCCCAAGAGTTGGAGGTTGCTGTGAGCTCTGATGGTACAGCATTCTACCCAGGGTGACAGCTTGAGGCTCCTGTCTCAAAAATATATATATATTCAACTATTATACAAGCATAAAAAATTTAAATATAAATTCAATGTAATTTCACAATGATGCTGTAGATTATGGGCAGGATTGGAGATAAAAGGGGTAAGTCTGAATCAGTTATAAAAAAAAAATTCATTACACCTTAAAGTGCTGTCCTATCACTTTAAAGAACACACCCCTTTTATTCTATTTTTTAAAAAGATTAAAACGATAACATCTGTTTCCTGTTGGTGACAGTTACTTGTGGGTTCTGTTCCAGTAACAGAGTGGCCTCCTCATGGAGTCTTAAGACACCCCACCACAAGTCCTGTTTTGCTACTGAGTGGTATTTACATGTATTTTATGTATAAATCTTGTTTTAAATCCTGAATTTGAGTACCATGCAAGGCTCACAGCAACCTCCAACTCCTGGCGTTCAAGCGAGTCTCCTGCCTCAGCCTCCCAAGTAGCTTGGACCACAGGCGCCCGCCACAACGCCCGGCCATTTTTTTTGGGT